AGTTATTGTCTGAGAGTGAATAAAGCCCAAACTACAGATGTCATCAGGGCAAGGAATAAAGAAAAAGATGTGAAGAGTGAGAGGTCGGTTGGCCTGAGGCTAAAGAAGTGCAGAGCAGAAGGCAAAAGTAGGCTTAAGTATAGCTTGAAGACAGCTTAAATAATGCCCAACAAGGCCGATTAAAATGAGAACTGTTGTGTAAGTAAATCCAGCTTTTCTGTCATAATGGTGTTAAGTGCTGAAACAAATGGATCTATCGATTACCTACAAGCAAAACAAATTTAAATGACCCAACTGCAAAGTTCCCAGCAACTTAACAGTGCATTGTCCGCCCACAAATCAGATACAACCTTCCATCGCTTGCTTTTTTTTTTTCTTATCTATTATTTGCAATTTTAAACTAACTGCTCTTCCGGCTCATCCTCTTCCTTCCCCTTTGAATTAAGCCCACAGTTTGATTGACCAGATCAAAAAATGTGTTCCTAACCAACAGATTCACTTCTATAAAGCTCAGAGTAAATATAATTGAACACCCTAAACAATGGATATGTGTGTCTTAAAAACCCATTGTGTTAAATTCTCTAGGGCAGAAGGAGGAGAAAGAGGAGAAAGAGGACACTTGATAGCAGAGCTAACAAGGGCACAGGGACTATTTCCGCCTAACAATAGCAGAATGCCACCCAAACACAGCCTCCCTGAGACACACTGATTGTCCTGATCTGTTTGAAATGACACTGACCAGCAGGAGATGGGAGATTACGTCCAATTAGTGGCCACTGTCCCAACTGACGAGACCGCCTCGTCTTTCGGGAGGTCTGATGGGGTCAGAGTTCATGACCTGACCAAAACATGGTGCCTGCTGCCCCCCCCCCCCCCCCCAGCCACACAGGAGGGCTTTGACTCTACTCACAGTTTCATCAGCCTGCTTGCCCACACACACCAACACAACCTCACTTCCCTCGGACCCTCCGCTCATCCCTGCCTGACCTTGACCTCTGCCGATGTGTGTGTGTGTGTGTGTGTGTGACAAATAGAGAGCGAGGGAGGTCAACAGGTCTCTGGGGAAACTGATTTATTTATTGGCTGATGCGTGTGTTTCCAAACAGGTGTAAATCTGCTCGCCAGCTAAGTGTGTGTCTGTGCATGTGGGTGTGTGAAGAGTATGAACTTTTATTTCCGTTTATGTATTTGTGCCAATATTTGTTTTTTTCCGTGCCTTTTGCATCCTCTCTCTCTCTGAATAAATACACGTGGTTGCGTGTTTGGCTGCACCTATGACTACATCCTCTTTGATGTTCGTGTGTGTGTGCGTGTGTGAGGGTGTCGGTGCATGTATGTGCGCGTGCTTTCCGGGCGGCTGTAAATCTCCAGACTGACATGTTGCTTCAGTAGGGAAACAGCAGGTTTGGGACACACTGATGGCCTTCACAGATGGCTTCAGGACCCTGCCCATGGGAGACCTTCTACTCTACCTATTAATTTATTCATTTTCCACTGCAGAGGAGACACTGAGGCAATTGTGATTGTTTCCAAGAGCCAAAGTCCCTTGAGAGCAGCTTGGGTGTTTTCTTATCTCCCCCCTCATTCTTTCCTTCCAGCCTCTTCTGTCCCCCTGCCCTCTTTTCTCCTGGTTGGTGTGTTTTCTTCTGTGCATCTAACCTTATCCCCCTAGTGCAGCAGGCCAGCTGACAGGCTTTGAATGTCATTGTCACAGTGTCATTGTGTCACCGAGTCAGTGTGGGACACTGATCAGTACCAAGAAGAGAAAAGGCTACAATTTGACTGTCACTTGTTACTCCTTTCACACTTCATGCATCTCTGATGGATGGGATAGAAAAGTGTCGCTGCAGCAAAGAGGGATTTGAGAGGGATTGCAATTCCATTCCTCCAACCAACTTGAGAGGTGGTTAAAAATCAAATTACTCAGAGTTGGTTTAAAGCAGTTTCATTTTTAAAACGTCCATATGGGATAACTATGGCTCCTGTGTTAAAGCTCCATTGGAGCATCCTCGTTGATGGCGTAGGAGCGAGGAAGCATAATAAGCATGATGGAAAGCACTCACTCACTGACTCAGTCCTCAGTATCAACTAACAAGATGTAATTAATACACGTATGAGCGTGTTGCAGAAAGCAGCAAATTATAGCTCTGACTCTGAAAAGCAGTGATTTCATACTCCACATGCATTGTCAAATGGTCAAAGCTCTGGTTTCAAAATGACATTATTATCGTTCACATTCATCATGACTGAGAAATGATTTAAAGATTTCTCAGATAGCTGAAACTGGCTTTTTTTCTTTTTAGCTCGGGGAAGAATGCAAATGAGAGCAGTGTTATGGAAAGTGGCCTTCTCACTATTTGTACCACAAGCAGAACATTTGTTTGAAAATGTTTCCTTGGCATGCTCAAGGCCTTTTAAAGGGATTCTACATGGCATACTTACGCACATCAGCAAACACACACACAACGAAACACTCCATCTTTAATGCATTTTACTGAGCAAGGCAGGCCAAGGCTCTGTGCCAGTACAGTCCTTCTGTCCACGTCTGGCTGTTTCCACCCTCTCTCACTCTCTGCTTCTAATGTACAACTGTCTCCGTCCACTCTTCCTGTAGACAGGTGGTCTGGTGGTTCAGACCAGGATGTTGGCTTTCTGTCTAATGCTGTTTTAATGGTACCTTGTGTGGAGGGTATGAGAGAGGCATGCTGCAACTAATAGACCCTCCTGGAAGTTATATAATAGTCTCTTTCTGTTGTGGTAAACTTGTCAAATCTGATTCACGGGTGTATCAGCATGTGGTTGCGTGTTAACGTTCTCACTGGTGTGAGTGCGTGTTCAGGTCTGCATTATTTTCCAAATTAGTTTGTAATAATTTGAGTATGTTTTAGTCTTTTTACTTGTTTTAAGAAAAATGTAATATGTTGCCAATGGACAACGCCTTGTCCAAAGACAATGAAGTTCAAAACATCAGTAGTTGTCGGGCTTTTTGTTGTCTCTTGCCCAGAAACAAAAAGTGAGGGCTTTCTTCCAGACTCTCTCCACCCACAGGGAAGTTACAAAATCAAATATTAAATATTATATTACTGGATATTTGTTGTTCTTTCATTGACTTGAGATCTGAGATTACTGGAAGAGATCAGCGTTTTTTCAGGCGCTGGTTTCAGTCTTGGTATGTGTAAAAATATAGCGTAAATGTGATTTTACACGACACACACTCAGGCTTCAATAGCTCATTTACCAAATTAACTTCTTCACACTCGAAAAATATTTTCTCCAAAATTAAAAAAAAAGTCTCTCTGGGTTCAAACAGAAGACGTTATGGAAAGATGTTGAAATTCACTGACCTAAGTAGAACAAGTGGGTGGATGCAGGAAAGTTAAATGAAAAACATGAACTCCTGGAATGAACGGTATATGATATTGTGTTAAGATGAATATTTTCAACAGTGTGTGAGTGTGCAGGGGAAAGCCAGACAGACGGCCACTATTCAGCTGTGAAAAGGTGCTGCTTATCAGCGCACTGCAATTAAAATTCTACAGTGTGTGTGCGCGCGAGCGTCAGAAGGATATGTATGTGTGTGTGTGTGTCGGGTAAAGTCCTTTCTGCACTACTTTTCTGGACCAAGCAGTGTCATATAATACATGTATGTTTGTTGGGTCTGATGCTTGTTTAAATGGAGTTCTTATTGGAGGAAAGTGAGACAATGGGAGCTTGTAGTCATATTTTTCCCACCATGTGTGTCTTTTATGTGTGTGTATATGCGTGTGTCGCTGGTCCCTCATCAGGCCCTCATTAACTTTACTAAGTGACCTTTGAGGAGGTGCTGATGGGTGTCTGTGGTACGCAGCCAAGTTTCTCCCTCATCTCCTTTTTCACCTTAACTCCTTTTTTTTGTCTTCTACCACTTTGAGTTCACTGATTTACCACGTCTTGTTTTATGAAATCTGCTCATCGTTTTCCTCTAAGCTGCATGTAATCTGCTCCATGAGAGCCTCTAGTCAACACTTTCCAACAAAGGCATCTCCACCTGTATAGAATCTGAATTTCTAGCTCGTCCACAGAGAATTTGTAGGTTTTGTGGTCTCCAATAAAGGCAGTCGACCCGTTGTCCCTCTTGTTTCTGTCATTCCACAGTCTAGAGGCACAATCAGCTGGAAATAGGTCATCACTCTACTGGTGTTCATGCTTCAAGCACTCTCCAAAAGTCTCCACATTTTGGGAAATATGTCTTGTATTTTGGAGAACAAACATGCCAAATGGTTTTATTGCAGTGAATTAGTTGTGTGCGTCTGAAGTGATTAAGGTCTGAGTGGTTTTGATAAAGTTGGTCGGATACATTGCAGCCTGCTGTCTGTCTGCGTCACCCCTTCACTCTATAACAATAAATACTGGTACTTTAGTAGTCCAGCCTTTGTGTAAAGCTGTGCCCAGTGAGGATCTTGAAGATTTTGGCATCGCGCAGAGCGTAACTGAGGTTTCACCTCATATTCCCAGTCCGAAAGGAGAAGTTATGGTGCAAGGCAGACCATGTGCACTCTCGCAGTCCTCTATGTACCCTTGTTTTTTTTGGAAATTGTCAAAAAATGTATTTAATGTTCTTTCGATCAATGTAAATTTGAAAAAAAAGAAGAAGCTTTTGTATTGTATAAATTTGGACTGTTGGATTGATGAAAGGAAGATAAAAAAAATGAAAACTAGGGAGTTTCCTTTCCTCGACTACATCTGATTGGCTGGTGCGAACAATTTAATCGGTCAAATGTGAACATTTTTTAAATTACTTTTCTATTTTTTTTAATGGAAAATTAAAGCGCAACACAGACCCAGGAGAGTATGTAGCTCTATATGGAATCAAATGAAAACTGAATTCATGATGTCAGTGTGTGTAAGTGTGCACTTATCTGTTCAAACGTTTTGTGATGAAAGCAGAAAAAGATTGATGAGTTTGCACGTTGTGGTTTAATCATAATAATAATAAAGAAATGACACATTTTAAAGAAAGATTCTTTATAAAAATTTCAAATATATTTTATTCATTTTCTTTTTTTGTAAAACAAAGATGTATTTCAGTAACAGAACTACAGTACTTACAGGTTAACTGATTAGAAAATATTGTCAAAGTTAAATCTTCATCTTTTACTGCTACGGCAACAGTGAATTTAGGTGCTATGTCTGTATGTACGATTCCTGCTTTTCATACAACAAAGGTTTAACTGAAGCAAATTAAAACATTTAAGTACAAAACAAATACACATTTGAAGAGTGATAGTGAAAAACAGCGAGTACCAGAGACGTATCAACCCAACATCGTTGGTTCTGTCCAGAGTCTCTTTCTCTCTCTTTCTTTCTCCACTTGTTTTCAGGAAGATGTCTTCTCTGCTTTTTACCTCCTTCGCTCTCCAATTGAAAAAGCAAAAAAATATTCAAGTTTCCCTCTTTCAGGCCACAAAAGAATGTTGCTGTACAATGTCAGTTGAAGCATCATCCAGTCCTCCAGTCTGTCTCGGTCCATTGGTCTTCTTTCCCAGCAGGGATAAAAGAAAAAAGCCCAGTTTCCTAATCATCTAGCATTCATCTGAATTACCTACTTTTTTTTACATTATTAGAACATACATTTTCTACATGTCTTTGCTTTGATGTTTGTTTCTGGGCACTCATTGCACAGCCCACATGAACTGTAGCGTATCATTTCTCTCAGCTCTTTCTTACACTGAATCAAACCCTGCTTTCCCCCTCAGCTCCCTCCCCATGTCTAGAATCATTACATTAACAAACACGTTTACCTCAAATCTTTAGATTCCCATTTCTTAATGCCACTGTCTTGATAAAGTTTCTGTAAGATATCGTACGAGTGATTAGTTTTACTACATCAGAAGAGAAAAGTACAATTATTAAAGGAAGGTTCCATTAAATTACGGGGGTAGATCAAAATGTCCTTCAAATTGTTATAAAATCTGTGGTTTCTTTTATTGTTAGGAGGGAGCTGCAGAGTGTGCAGCTTTCCCCCCTCTCCAACATTAACATGTCTGATTCATCTAAGCAGATCAGGACGACCCCCTTGACAACTTGATTCATGTTAAAGCTGAGAAAATAAAAGCTTGGCTGCCCTGCTTAACCCTTGTAGGACTATGTTGCGGTGCTGGTAAGAGATTTTGCAGGGATCTGGGGGTTCAGGGACACAGACTTTGGATCTACGTGGAACAGGGTGGAATGTGGGGAGCAATGGTGGATCGTGCAAACAGTGCAGCGAGCCGCGTCACTGGAAGACGGTGTGGTAGGTGGGACACTGATGAGACTTCATGTACTTGATGGCGAACTTGAGCTCCTTGCTCTTCTTGTCCCACTTGTGAATGGACATGAGCAGCAGTTGCTGGTCCACTTTGCGGCCCATGATGAGGAAGTTGGAGCCTAGGCTGTCGAGCTGGGCACACGGGCAGTTGGCGCCATTCTTGATATACAGGGTCAGTTTCTTCAGGTCCTTCTTCCTCAGCACACCCTGCTTCAAGACTTTCTTCTTCTTTTGTGCTGCAATCAGCTTCCTGTCACCCTTCTCCTTCTTCACCTCCTTGATTTTCATCTTGAGGGCTGAGGGAGAAGAGCAGGGAGAGATATTTTTAGGTCTTTATTTTATTCTTTAAAACAGATATTTACACCCAGAAGCTGTTAATGTGTCATTCTGATCCCCCCGTTCCTTTCTACTTTGAGCAGCTGTGACATTTCTTCTTCCTGCAAACCAGCACTGCTGTGCCAAAGAAGCAGCTAAAGTACTTTACACCTCTCCTGAGTATCATTATTTAAACTCTCCTGCAGCGTATAAAAACTGCATCCTGTGTGTATGCTTGTGTGTCTGACTTGGGGAAAACCCATAAATGAAAAGGAGGACATTTTTTTGGAGTTACAACCTGTTTTTCATGCAAGTTCAAGTCAAGTCTTAAGCCCTTGAGCGTGAGTCCAAGTCACAAGTCCTTATAAGCAAATTTCAAGTCTTTCAGATATCTGAATGCTGATCATTAAATGACATGGCAGCATTTTTCTCTCACAACTGGGTTGAACATGTTTGTTGTATAACTGAGACAAAGTCCTTTCAGAACATAGGCCTATAATTAAAACTTGCAAGGCCTGTCTGGTGCTGTCTTTTTTTTTTTGTTGAAGGATTTTACACACCAATCCATGGGGCTTCCATGTTTTTACTTTCAAGCTTCAAGTCAAATTAAGCCTTTAGGGAGTACTGTCAGGGTAGAACTCCAAGTCAAGTCAAAAGTCCTCATTTTTTGGGACTTAACACTCTGAGTGTAAAGCACTGGTTCTAACGTCGCAATGCTTCTATCTGTATGGAATTACTTTAGTATCATCCTTTTTGGTCTCATTCTTCATGTATATCATTTTCTACCTAACAATTGGTTGTAATAATTGTTCTACATCTCATGCTCCTCTATTGAGATACTGTGCTTACTTTGTGCGTATCCATTACAGAACAAAATACAGAGCAGATAACCCTTTGTACACTGTTTTTAGCAAACAAGGAGTTTAGTTACAGCAAACTCCGGTTTATCAACTTCATGAAGTACTAAATTGCGTCTCCCGCGAGCCTCCTGTTTATGAGTTTAACATGTGAAAGATCAAAAAATTGAACTGCCAAGCATTTGAGAGAGGAATTCTCTCGGGGAACGTTTTGACAGGTGAAATTAATCATTGGCCGTGCAAAGGCGAGAGGTTGGTATGAAGCATCGCTATGTACCCAAGCCTGTTGGAAGATCGCTATTTCACTTCTCGCCTGTATAAACATCCCTTGGTACGCTCTGATACGTATACAGTACATGCGAAGCGATAGCATGTTCAATAAGGTGTGCGTGTGTTGAGTTGCCTCTCATCCCCATCCTGATTCACATCCAGCTCTTTCACTGAGGGTGTGTGTTTGTGTGCCGCCTTTACGTGCCTCAGCGTGTGTGTTTTTGTTGTTGTTGTTGAATGAATGCATTCATGTGTGTGTTCAGTATAGATAGGAAGGATAAAATAATTTCCCTCCCATGTTGATTGCCCACTCATATTCAGTGGGCCCCACTGTGCAGCCTGGCCAGTATCCTCGTGACAAGCTGTGCCCACTTCTTTACACAAACTCACTTTCTTTAAAGTGAGCCGAAGGGGAGTAGAGGAAGAGGAGAGAGAAGTGTGTTGTCATTTTGAGGAGAAACAGGATTTCTTCAAGCTAAATCAGGCAACCTCCCCTAGCAACCAGGTGTAGGCTTCATGTTCATGCACTTTCTTTTCTACTCTTGTCATTTGTATTAGGCTGCAGGATGGTACAGCAAGGAATGTGGAGGGATCAAAAGTAAACTGTAATAAAACACGAAGAGCAAAGATTCTCTGAGGGCGAACGGCGTCCGAAGATGAATAGGCAACAAGATTGATGAGGCGTAAGCTGTAATCGGCTATCGCCCTATAGAATAACATTGTCGAGTCATTCTTGCCTTGATCTCCAGATCCATACATCACCGCTATCTCGACTTCGATACTCATCCTCATCCAGCCACATACATTAACAGCCAATAAAATGTCTGTCTTTGGCTCACTATCTGCTTTCACATCAACAATGTTTCTTTCTAATGAAAAGAAAGCATCTGATCGCTAAAACCTCATGTTGGAGGATTGAGATATGTAATCCTGAAATTAATCAGCCAAATAGGTAGAGTCAGGATTAATTATGGGTGATGACTCTACGTTTTGGCTGCAGGTCATAGTGTGAGCGATGTGCACAAAGATGTATTTTTATTGTTGGTGTTGGATGTGTGGGCCGTATATTAATGTATTACTTATAATGGGTCGTGTTTTGTTTAGTCATGGTTGTTGGTGATGGCCAGAAAAAAGTTTACGAAACTTCTCCTTCATCTCTTTTAATCTGCAGACATTTCCTCTGTGGGACACTTCAGCACAGAAATATGGTTTTGCAGAACTGGGCACATTTCATTTTTAGTTACAGTATTCTCACTAATCTGTTCAGAAACATAAGCCATGTTCTTCATGAGTCTCCCAATGCTATGAGTTGTTTTGTCTCCAGAATTGTATGACCAGAGAAAGTAGAGGGAAGTACCGTATATCATTAACTCTAAAGAATGGGACAGTAGTCCATGCGAGCAGAAGTTCTGCTGCTGTGGAGTACAATGGGCCTTGATGAGCAGCAGTAATAGAATAAATATGTTCTGGCTTCGTGTGCAGCTCATTACTGTGGTCAAACTGGACTGCTGGAAAGTAGAAAGTTTAAAAAATGGTGTTGAATGGACATCTGGGACTGGAAGCTATTATATTAATGTATTACTTTATGAGATGGAAAAGGCTTATGCTAGCGGAGGGAATAGTGCAAATGAATGTTTTTTTCTGCTTGTTCATGTCTGTGCTCATTTCGAATATGTTCTACAAATACCTGCAAGCATATAGTGAGTTATCAAAAGAGACTGAAATATAAATATGTAATGAAAAAACTCATCAAGCCCAATACTTAGGTTACTTTGTTGGTGCACATAAACATACTTTCAGTGTTGTTGGCACTGGTGTGTCATTTTTGTCTTTAAAACTAAGGTGTTTGGAAATCCAAAGATTTTTACAGTAGCTAACAAAGAACTGTGTGCATAATATTTTAATCTTGATGGATATTTTTATTGATAAGTGCATGAGTTATTTGACAGAAGTCCTGCTATTTATTTTGCTGTAGGACTTTTGCTGTCCTCCACACTGTAATATTATTAGAATACTGGTGGTAGGTCGACACATATCTCAGCTTTTAAATAGCTTCTCCTCAAACTCTTTCATTTTTGATTCCCTTCATTTTATTATTGATGTGAAACAGACTTGAATCTTCTAATTAAGGCTGGTGAAAAACATTTTGCATTCTGCAGGCAATGAGTGTTAGAGCTGTAATTTTTTTCTGACTAAAGAAGACAATACCCTGCTGTGCATTAAACTGCCCCTGCTCTCCTGTATGTTACTGTCTAGCTCACACTTAATGATGTTACTTACCAAAGTCACTGGCGCAGTAATGCTCCATTATGTTGTCTGCTTTCAGCTCATTGTCACACGGAGGGCACACCTTCGACACTGAGGGGACAGAAAAAATAATTTGTCATTAGAAACTAAACCTAATCACATTTCATATGGTTATTTTATGGCCAGATTAGCTAATATCTCACGGCTGAGTTGAGGTCGTTGTTAGTCAAGTGCAGTCACCAAAACCGCGTTGGTATGAATCCGTTAAGCCCTGAGCACTTTTGAGGCACTTATTTGCAGCCCCCCCCCCCCCCTCCTCTTGTCAGAGGCTATTTGCTGCCGAGCGAATACACAGTCTAGCAGGCTGACTGATGTTGGCCCTGCAATTACACTGGACGAAATGTTTTTATTCTGGCCCTTGTATATTTTTGTGGTGCAGGCGTGGTCTTGGCTGTACAGGAAGGTAAATGCTGCAGCAGGAGCAGCTGAACATGGTGAAAAGTGATTCAGTACACAGACGCAGCCAGCACTTAGGCCACACAGCAACCACACATTGTGAAACGGCAAGGGGAAACCGAAGCACCAAGTCCAGTTTATTTTTAACTCAAAATGTATGGTCATGCCTGCTTTGCTTTGTTTAGCCTCACTAACTTTGATCTGAAACTTGATTGTTGTTATTGTGCACACATCCAACATGAGAGAGAAGTACAGGCCCTACATGAAGTCGTTTGTATTTGTTTACTGGAGAAGCTTGCTTATTTCTACAGCAGAAAAGTATGGAAATATGTTAATTTATCATGACATTTTGAAACTTCAATCTGCCACTTAAAAATCTTGCGTTCAAGCAACCTCAACCTCTTCTTTCTCAGAAACACAAACACACTCAGACATGCTTCATACTGCCTTGCAATTTTCTCCAAAGGCTCTTCAATATAAAACTTTATTATGTCAATTACTACATAAAATCCATGTAATCCCTGAAGGGTTGTAGTAGCAATACACATCTAACATCAGTCCATAGCCTTAAGCCAGTCGGCGGAACAAGGTATAATATTAGAAATGGTCAGGGAGAGAAGGATGTGGCATATACATCTACCCCACACCACATATATACACCTACAGGGCAGGTAAATATCAGAAGCAGTCTTTTTTTGGGACGTTTGCTAATGGGGCAGCTAAATATTTCTGTCATTCACTAACCACAATATCCAAAATATGTCCAGATCTCTCCCCCCTCTCTTTTTTTCTGTGTGTCTCACACTTACACACACACACACACACACATATAATTCTAGCACAGTCCAGCCCAGGCCCCTGGGTTAAAAGTCAGGGTTCAAAGGTTATCACCCCATTCCAAACCTCAGCGTCTGGGCAGATAATGAGAGGGGTCAAAGTTTAGCATGCTTCGCTGCTCGGGTCGAGGGGAGGTGAACCCCCTTACCACCACTGAGTGTATGTATGTGTGTATGTGCTCGTATGTGTGTGTGTGTCAGAGGGAGTTGAACCATGTTCTTGTAGAGTAACTGCCAGTTTTTTCTCCTCTGAGGGTTCCCATGCATTCACAGGCAGGAGACCTGCGAGGCCTACAGGGTCAGGCCTCTTAATTGTCTGGTGCTGACATGAAGACTGGGACAAGAGCTCGGAAACACACACACACACACACACACACACACACACACGCACACACACACTCAGAGCAAGAGAAGCCAAAACTCTGGATTTGTCTGTTTTGAATGATTCCCTTGAAGCTGTTACGTCTTATTCAGACTCCACGGTAATTCATTCTGGTTTCACAGGGGTGGTATGTTGGCAGGAGGCCCAGTTACATTGATGCCAGAGCGTGTGTCAGGAGAAAACAGACCCTCCATGAAACTTAGCTGAGCTTGGACTGAAAAACCACCATTTGGATTTCGCTGAGAAATCAATTAAGCGACAACTGACCACATCACGGTCTGCTCTCCGTCGGGGAATCAACGTCATGTTCTGATGGGATTCACTGCTGTGAGGCTTGGTGTGTTTTTTTTTTCCTGGAGACATTTCTACCCAGCAAATATTTTGACATTAGGTCATTTATGTAATTTGCCATCATCTCAAGCAGTTTAGGAATTTTTTGCCTTGTGAAAATGATGTTTTGCTTTGGTTGACTTTGGACCTGACTGCCTCCTGTGTGCTGCTTTTCGTCATCTGCGTGCTGGGTTATGGATTTAATCACAGAAACTTCAATGTTTCCATTCACAGTGACCAATGTTATGGTATTGTCTTTTAGAGCTGTTGTTCTGGATGATGAGGAGGTTGGGATTCGATGATTGAGGGTCAGAGGAAAAGGCTGATGGGAGTAGTTTGAGTAGGGAGGTGGTCTGTTGGAGAGGCCTGCTGTTAATCTTCAAACGGCGAGCCAGAGTAGAAATGACGTACGGCAAGAGTCCAGTAATTTAACTGCACAACTTCACTTAGTCATAGCTGTGAGGTTAATATCACTTTCTCCATTTCAGTCTCCCTCCCCTGCTGTATCTTTTTTCTCTTGTCCACCCTCTCACTCTTTTTCTCTTCTCTTTCACATAACCTGGTTTTCCATCGTATTTTTTAAAATGTAGAAAGGCTGATTGAACACAACAAAAAAACTTTTGATGATGAAGTTGTGAAAAGTCATTTGTCAAATGATGACATATCTTTGGAAAAGAAGGCCTCATAAAGAATTGCCATTGTGCATCTATGTGAAATTATTTCTCTCAAATAATTGTCCACTGTCATCTCTAATGTTCAAAGTCACCTCCTTGTAATTAGTTGGTGCAGTAAGAAATTGCTTAGCATTAATGCAATTTTGTAGTTTCAACAACATTATTTTGGTCACCCCTAAGGGACTAGATGTGCAGAAACACCTTGTCCTTTGTCAATACGTGACTTCCAAGATTATTTTCATTCCCTTCAAACATTCTGTTGAACACAACAAGCGCTGTAAATCACATTTTACGTTTGTAACATTTCACAAATTGGCTTAAAATCAATTTCACAGCCTGTCACTTTTACATACATATCTTCACTCAAAAGACAACCAGATCTATTAACATTGTCATCTGAACCCCCGGCCGTGTCTTGTGCCTCGTCCAATGCAGTTGGAGCGTCACAGTGCCTTTATTTTTTTTGTTGTTGCAAGAACGTTCCATTTAAAGTATGCGCGGGTCACTATCTCATGCATCATTTGGACCCTTTAAGTTACGAGCAGCAACACTTATGACATAAAACGGTACTGTGCAGGAGATGAAATGCAACGTGTAATTTATGTCGGAGGGCCTAACATCTGTTTAAATGCGGCATGCAGACAGACAGAGGAGGACTTAAACACGGCCCACAGGCAGCCCCCGGGGCCCCGAAAACACAGCACGCTCCTCGCATCTGTAGGAATCCTATACAGAAGAGAAAATACATCTTCAAAAGGCCGAGGCAGTCTTCCATGCACAGAGCATTGGATCACATTTTCCCTTTCATATATCGGCCAGGCCCACATGAGTAGCACCCATTGTGCTGCTGGGGACCTGACAGCGCTGCCTGTCACCTTTACCACGGTTGTAACTTACACTAGCCGCATCAATGAGTACGGCGAGGACAGACACTATCTTTCACACCATGCAATTTCAACGACTTTTCACTGGACAACGTACATATTGTCTTGAAAAGCATTTTCTGCAAAAACATGCAGTGTGAGTGATGTAGTTCACCCCATGCACTTAAACAGACGGTGCAGAAAACGACTTGCATCCATCATAACTGTTGATTTGCTGATGCAGCCGCTAAAGGAAGCATCCTTGAATAAGGTGGAGTTGATGGGCAGCACTAACTGTGCTCTGCCAGACAGACTGAGCTCAGCTGGCCTTTTTGGCTCCCAGGATGCCTGGGCCCTCTTTTGTCAGCAGTCTGCTTGTCTTCCCTGGTATTATATCTACAGACTTGTGTTTCACATAATCACACCCCATGGGCCTCTGCTTCACACACACACAGGCCAGAAATCATCCATACGCACAACCTAAGCTCAGGTGGCGGTGGTGTTTCTCTCAGTTTTGGCCATGACAGAGTGGTGGAAAGTGAATCTGACTCTGTACTGTTAGTTTCCACAGGAGTCCTCGAACTGTGCTATATCATGTAATTGCAGAATAGCTCAGATAGCAACAGGGCCTCCCGGACAGGGAGAGCAGTGCTTAATACCTGTGATTGATCCACGTCCCCAAGATTCACCGGAATTACCACAAGAGAACTCATTTGATCCTGTGTGAGGAGAATCAACCATGTTCAGACGGTTCCCAGGAAACTCTTCTTCTAAGCTTTTCCTTTTTATCATTGCTGGCTGTGTGTGTGTGTGTGTGTGTGTGGGTGTGTGTGTGTGTTCGTGTGTGGTTTGTTTTAGAGCCAAAAGCTTGTCCTTAGGATGGCCTCATCGGCACATCTGAGAGACTCTGGTTCTTAACAAAATGTCAGTGACTGAGCCTTCAGGCTAGAAGTGATATGGGTTCACTCTCAGTTTCAAACACACACTCTGACACACACACACACACACACACACACACACACACACACACACACAAACGTACACAAGCAAATCTTTCAAATCGAATCGTTAAACTTCACCAATATTCTATTTTTGATTTATTCTTTAAAAGTTTGATTTAACACATTTTGTCTTTTTTTCTCTCTGCATGAAATTGCTTAACTGCAAAGACCGACTCTGATCATTATTAGATTAGATAGGATCAACAAACAGTTGCCTCTATGAGGAGGTGACAGATGAAGTTGAAGCCGCCTCCTTCTCAGAGAGCATGTAAGAGAATGAGTTATGGCTCTGCAAAGCCAAAGTGTCACATAGTTGATTCTCGTCCTACAAAAACAGAACAGCCATTTTCCCTAATGGAATAAGTCAGCACTGCACACATTTACCAGAGAATCCTGAAACGATCTACAGATATCAGTATATGCTGCAAACATTATTGATAAAAAGATATATCGCACCATTTATGATTGACGGGACTAAAATGATGTTTTGGCATTATTGGCTTTCATTTTGAGTGCTTTAGTAAATGTTGTATAATATATCAAGTTAAGGAAAACACATTTACTATTATGTGAAATATCAAGTGAAATATTAACACACAGGAACATTTTCACCAAAGTCGATGAGAAATTGCGATAAAGGCAAGACGTGGAATAATGACAATAATAAACCATTTTCCTCGAGCCCTTATTGAAAGCAGGGAGGCAGACACTTTTTGTGCTGCAGGAAGCAGCTTTTCTCCTATTCTACACTCTGTCTGCCTCTCTTTACTCTCCCGCTTCCCTCACCTTTCACTCCTCTCCATTCGGCTCTCTCATGGACAATCAGACTTCGGGCGTTCCTATTCTCCGCCTGCCTCTATTGTCCCGTCATGTCGACTAATTAGTGGGAGCTCAGTAATTGGCCTTCTAGCTAATTGGCCTGCTGGCTGCCAGACCCAACAAAGGCCTAGCGGGCTGGGACAACGTGGGGACTGTCCCCCTCCACTGTCTAAAGGCTCTCATCAACTCCCTCTCTCCCCCTCTCAGCGCTGACTGCTTTTGTGAAGAGGCTGCTTAAGTAGTCGCAGTGCACACACACACACACACACACACACACACACACACACACACACACTTTTTTGCTCTCTATGTAGTTCCCTCTCACCCTTTCACAGCTCACTATTCGCCCATATGTCTGTTCTCTTACTTGCTGCCTGTGAAGAATGGCAATTCCAAGGGTGGCAATTTTCCTTCTTATTTTATCCATCTTGGGTCTAGTTGTACATTTATTGACACTTTGCAGACTAGCTTGTGATTTGCATGCTTGACAGCTTTGAAATAAAAAATTCCCCATTCACTCAGTTGTTTGATTGATTAGCTGTTGCTGGATGTCTGCTGATAAAAGGTGTGTATGTGTGCACGTGAGTGTGTGTCACCCTTTCAGTTAAGATGTGTTTAACATCACAGTCCATTAATCTTGACTCGGTGAGCGACCTGGCTGTCGGAGACTCTCAGTCTCCTGTCTCTCTCCCTCAGTCTGTCTCCGTCCCTCCCTGAGGCTGGTGCACATGGCAGGGAGCCGTCCTGAAATGTCCACTTACTCTTAACTTTCCCCTGTAGCCTCTTCCTGCTCTTGTCTCTCACACCGACTCTGGTTAGTCTCTCACTTAAACTTTCATCTGTCATCATTCGCTGTGCGGGAAAACCACACGAGCCTCACAGCCGTCTTTGGGCTCTTACTGTCGCTGACTCTGTAGGCTCTTAAACACTCATCTGTCTTCGCAATGTTGTTAGCGGGAGTCCCGGAATTTACAATGCAGAGACAAACTATATTTTTTTATTTTGGGATTTGTGTCTGCACAACACAGGTCATAGTATAGGAGTAATTTTATCTTTTTTTATGAGAAAAGTTTATTTTTTTAACCTTTTTAAAATACTTGCTATTGACATTGCTTACTAAAATGCACATACAGCATTATGAATAAAAACTGATTTGTACAATATAAATCATTTTTGGACAGAATACTAAAAGAGCTACAGCATGCTTTTTATGCTGCAAAATTTCTTTTACAGTTTTTTTATTGACTTGAATTGATTGTATTGTGGCTGAGCTTGCCACTTGACTTTTAGTATTTTGTAAAAACATTTAAATTACAGGTGGTGCAAACTCAAGCTCAGTTAATTCAACTTCTTTAGGGTCCATTCTAAAATGAAAGTTACTTCCACCATTGTGGACTTGTAACTTGTATGTGTTCGTAGATCATTTTGTGTGTGAGTTTGGATGAGGGTGTGTGTTGGAGTGGGTGTATGTGCACATAGCTACCCTACCTGGTGGCTGGGTCGCGTGGTTCCCAGTGAACTGCATGGGGATGCAGAGGTCATTATCAATGGGAAACTTCTCACAGGTCAGCATCTCTGGCCAGGGGAAGCCATAGGTCTCCATCACCGGAGCACAGCTGTCCCTCACGGCCTCACACAGTGAGCGGCAGGGATAGATGGGCCTGTCCAGGCACACCGGTGCAAACAGCGAGCACAGGAAGACCTGGGTATCAGCATGGCACCGTTTGGCCAGGAGGGGCACCCAGCTACCCGCCTGCTGCTTGACCTCTGGCATGGTTTCGTGGTCCAGGAGGTTGGGCAGCCTCATCTTTTTGTAGCCCACATTGTGGCACAGGCGCAGGTCAGCTGGTATGTCCACACACTGGGGCTGCTTGGTGTAGAAGCGGCCATTGTGGAAGTTGTCCGACTGCCAGCTGTAGTAGTCGTACTCATCTGCGGCTGAGGCGGTGAGGAAGAGGAGGAGGAGGGAGAAGAGCGACAAGCCCAGTGCCAAGCTGAAGGAGCCCTGGGTTAATGCCCACCTGGGGCTCTTTTGTCCGTGTGCCATGCCTTTCTGAGCCCGAACCAACAATTCAAGAAGGTTGTATCCAAAGTCTCCAAAGTGACTCAGTGAAGACAAAACGCAGAGTGAAGAGAGGAACAAGTGGGGCAGGCGTACAAGCTGTAATCCCTTTTTTTTTGTCCTGAGTATGGACGCTGTGGATTGAAAACAAAGTGTTTAATTCCCTTCTTCCCTGCAGAGTCAGCCCTCTAAGCCTCCCTGAAACACCTCCCTGTGTGTGTATGTGTGTCTCAGGTAGTGGAGTAGGGAGGCAGCAGTCAAGGAAAGGTGAGCATAGGTCTGCTTATTTTCTAACTTTCCCTGTTCACAATTTCTCACTCTCCTTCCCTCTCCCTCTCTTAGACCTGTCTCCGGCCCTCCCCTGCTCGCTGTCTATCAGTCTGTAGCTTTAATGAGGAGTACCTTAGGTTTTAAGAGGCATTGGTAGCTGCTCTCAGCGGCTGCCTGCCCCCTAGCAAGCACCCCAGACCACTCACCTCTCTACTGGCCTCCCCTGCACTCGCTCACAACAGCCTCAGCCAATCACAACCCTGGGGGAGGCTCCCAGTGGCCTTCAGTAAACTCCTCCTACCCCTTGTCCATGACAAAACCCCTCCTCTACAACAAGTTAACATGAGAGAGAAAGAGAGAGAGAAACTATGGCAAGCTTTTTTAAATATAAATCTCTCTAATATGCACAAGATTCTTTGGTCAGAAACACACCCACAAACACTCATAGCAGACATTGTCACCCTCTTAGTCATGCTGTTTTTCCTCATACATTTAGAAACTTTCTACCCCTCTTTTACTCATGAGAGGCTCAACAGCCCTGAACATTTCTCCTCACATAAAAAATAATGTGATGAAGCCTACTCACTTTATTAGCTCAAAACAGTCTGGTGTAACAGGCTTCTGCTGGCATCAACACTGAGAAAATGTACTCTCTCTCTCACACACACAGACACACACACACACGCGCTCAAGCATAATTGCAAATGTGAGAAATCCAAGAAAAGAAAGTGAATGAAGTGGGTGGGAAACAGCTGCACTAAGGCTACTGAGTGTGGGTTGCGCAGCTACAGGTGGCTAGGTGGTTTACCCGCACTATGGGAGTTATGCTAATGTGTATGTTGGCTGTGAATAGAGGCATGCTGCCCCTCTGTCTCTTTCTATCAGTGCCACTGACACAGTGAGGGCCTTCGCCTTGGCAGCACATTCTCAAGAAGGGTCGCATTCAGATTCAAAGGGCTGTAGCTGTGTGAGCAGGATGTGGGTTCGCCGGCTCTCACATGGAGGGTGTCCTCGCATCTGGCATTTGATCTGCGTCACGCATTAATGCTGTTCCTCATGTGAATGGGCTGTGAAAGCAGGTTCATACAAATGATAGTGAAGAGTTTGTTTGCTGCTGCAAACTGATGTTTTATCGTGATATAGACGGATTGTCAGGACACAATCTGGATCATGCTGCTGCTGGATACTGCTGACACTGAGAGAAAGAAAGACATGAGATTTTGGAGTATTATTATTATCTGTATGTGGCAGTACAAACAAAGAGAATAAGAAAGTGTGTGTGTGAGTGTGTGAGTGTGTATGTTGTGCAAACAGTCGGAGGTGCACTTGGATGAGAATCAGGGATACTATTGTTCTTCGCCTGTAGTGTAGAAGGGGAAATTCCAGAAACAGCAGTCAGTCCATAAAATCGAATTCAATAAGATGAAATCAAATAGATAAAAATGTGGATCAGTATCAGGCCACCAGGCACAGCAATAAAACCTTGCACATTGTCCAAGCACCCATACAGTTTTACAATGTCTTGACCATACTTATTTCACAAGCCAGGGGATTATGAATACAATTACTGCACTAATCATTTTTTTACTTGAGAATAGAGTTGAACATTTTTCAGCCTTATCTTCCCGAACTACAGTTAGAATCCCTGTTGACTTATTGGTGTGTTGCAGACACTGCAGAGTGATTTTTTTGGGGGGGAATTGAAAAGCTGCCAGCAGAACAAACAAGCTCAATCTTCTCCTGGAGCAGTTCTCATAACCTGCCATGTAAGATGAGATGGCGGTGAGCTGAAATCACCCCTAAAATGCCGTCATCATTACTAAAAGCATCATTGAGTGGATATAAAGAGCTGCTTTGGTTTGATAAGTTTGCAGCCAAAGCTAATTGACTACATTTCCTCACCTCTTCTCTCCCATCACTCTGCTCCTGCTTTCATTGTGTTTTGTTATTCATGGAGAGAAACTACTCTGCTAACCTTTGCACCACAGCTAATCAATATTACTCACAGCTAATAATCTGTGGACCTTACTCTTTCATGAAGGGCTTGTGAGATTGTCTTGTGCACACCTCGCTATCTCTGTGACATATCGTGTATTCACGTTAGTTCAGTGTTGACCTATTTTAAGACGGCTAGCGTTTCCTCTTGATGCAGGCACAGTGTACTGCCTTCAAGTCGGTAACAAAAGTGTCTTTCATGGTAATCAATCAACAATGGTTGTCTCCTCTTGTTCTCCTTCCCCTAACTGGCCCCTGTGGCCAACGGCCAATCAATTCCACTCTTCAGTTTCCAGCCTTCTGATTGGACAAGGGCTATAAGATTAGGGCCAGCCTGTATTGTTGGGCCTAAAGGTTTAGCATGGTTTGAAAAGAGTGTCTCAGCAATTGTATGAGTTAGTGTGTGTGTGAGAGTGTGTGTGTGTGTGTGTGTGTGTGTGTGTGTGTGTGTTTGAAGATGGTGATGGTGGGTACTGGTAGTTGTGTGTGTGTGTGTGTGTGTGTGTGTGTGTGTGTGTGTGTGTGTGTGTGTGTGTCAGGGTGATTGTAAAGAGGAAAGGCTGGAGGGTGTGGGTGAGGTGACCAGACACCCAGATATGCCCTCCAAGCAGAGTTTGAATTACAAACCACACAAGAAGATGGAGGCGATGGTGTGAACGACAACAGACACATCCACATGATCCATGTCTTTCTCCGGCTGGACAAACTGCAGCAAGTACAGAAAAAGGGTCTTTTCAGTACATTGTACTGGTATATGACCTATTGTGTATTCTCAGCAGACAAGTAATCTCAGTAAACTCAGTAATCTATTACTTATATTTTACTCAAATCAGAATGAATAAAATTCTACCGAAATGTTTATTAAATGCAGTATAGTACAGGTGCTTTTTAATGAAAATAATCTAGACAGATTTACAACTCACAGTAGACATATCTATGCAAAGTTATGTATCTACAGTGTGCAACAGAAAATGTTGTGGAGGAGGCTTTGTCCATGCAGTAACAGGTTTTCTCCAAGAGTAAACCCCCACCTCCTCACGACACACACCTCCCTCACAACGCAACAATAGGGATTAGCTTGCAGAACTGTCAAAACATGTGTGAAACACACAGACCAGTGTCTCGCACAAATACTTTTTATTTATTTTCCTTTATATCCGTCTCTCTCTCTCTCTCTCTCACACACACACACACACACACACACACACACACACACACACACACAC